TGTAAACATTTGATTCCTTGCTATAAAACCTACACCTACTGATTTCTACTGATCCTGTAACTTCATAATGACATTTTTCATCACTATACTTTGGAAGAGCTAAACACTAACCCCAAACAAGAAGCAAAGCCAATCAGGAAACAAAAGTTGGTGATAGCACAAGTGGAAACACAGTGTTCCAGAAGTCCTAGGTAAGAACACAAGCTGAAGCTCCAAGCTGAAAACTAAGAACGTGAAAAATCAGTATTCTAGAGTGGGAAAAGCACTAGAGAGGAAGCCTCTGTCACAGGAGAGATGCAAAGCACCAGTCAGCTCACCCACCAGGGGAACCAGACACCCCACATTCACAGCTGGAAGGGGGAGTGGCTTGCTTGTCCCGAGGCTTCAGAGATCCCAGTCCATGGCTGACCGGCTCCAGGGCAGCAGCACCATGGCAGAGCACCTGGGGGAGGAAAGCTGCTCTCTTCTTGGCCACCAGGACATGTGGCCCAGGGGAAGAGTTTCAGCAAGCCACACTCTGCAAAGGCACAGACCTCCAGCTGCGGCCCCTCCTGGAAGCCAGTTCAGCCGTGGACACCAGTGGTCAGTCCATTGATTAGTACAGCACCCTTTAGTCTTCCACTTTTCTGGGATTCCCCTAATACATTCATGCTGGGGACCAAGATGATCTGGTGTGAGATCCCTGATCTCTGTGGTTTAAAACTCAAATTCAGGTAGTTTTGTTTTGGGGGAGCAAGAAAGGCCCTTGACTTTTCAACTTAGTCTATTTTTTGTCTAACGCACACAGAATCCCATGGCCAAGACTAGTAGTGTTGGTAAGATCCTCAGAGAACAGCTGTTCAAGATCAAGAAATTATGTTCACCCCAGATCCCAGAAACATTAGAAGCAATTTGGCACCTTGGAAGTGGCTGTATGAGGAGAGGGTGAGACACTGAGTCTCCTCAGAACCACCTCTCTCCCAAACCCAAGGAGAGATGAGGATGCAGCAGGTTGCAATGGCACCTGATGGGACCAAGCCGTGGAGACACAAGAAACCCTCACCAGGGTGACCTAGGTGCTGTGACCTCCCCATCACTCTCCGCACAGCACAGACCAGCAGCCTCGATGTTCTATATGACTCATGCCTTCCTTTAGCTGTCAACATTCAGTCATCATGCCCCATTACTATGCCCTGTACACTTGGCCCTCATGTGCCTTTTTCTCTCCAATCTTTCTGCCTTTTCCTGCTCCCATTAGCAGTAATCCTTACATTACCTCCTAGTGCCCTGAGGCACCCACCCCAGCTCTCCTAGAGCTGCTGTCAGGACACTGCTTCCTGCACTGATCTTTCTGCAGAACCCTCCATTGCTTAGGGGAAACCAGGGTAGCCCTGAATTCTTCTAACTCAGCCAAAGCCACTACTCTATATCCAAGAGCTATCTGACAGATTGAAAAAATTGGGAGGGGCTTAAAACTCATCACATTTTATGCTGCATAGATTTTCCCAGAATAAAAGTGTTTCATATAATGCATCCTCCTCTATCCCACAGCAGAGAGAGAGAGACAGAGTGAGAGCAAGAGCGAGAGCGAGAGCGAGCGAGCGAGAGAGCACAACTCCCTTATTATACTCAAGGACTCTTCTGCCTCTCAGGGAAAAATAAGTCAGCCAATATCTTTAGAAACTCTGGCCTTGCTTCTTGTCACCCACCTTAGGTTAGAAGATCTGGAGTGATTTGGCTGTACCCTGGGATGAGAAATTGGACCAGGTAGATTTCAAACACACCCAAGTATCTCTAACTTAGTGTGAAGTTCACCACTCTGCTGGGAAAGATCATTACTCAAGCCGAGGCTCTGGTTTGCAAACTCTGGGATGAGAAGCAGCACTGGATTCTTCCCTGTGGACTACGGTCTTTCTGCAGTGAAGGTGTCCTGGGTTCTCTCACCGCCCGGCTGGTTCCTCACCACAGGCCCCCATGAACAAAGTGTAGGTCACAGTCGGCTGAGCCACCCTGACAGTGATGCTGAAAATAATTGAATGTTATTGTAATTTCTGTTTCCAACACATGAGATCAAAGATATTGGAAGCTCTTAATTATTTTCCCCAAACCACACTCCAATTATTTCCTAATTTACTAAATCTTTTTAAAGAGTGCCCTTTTATTCTGTCTTCTTATGATACTGTGTGGTGGTTATGACCAGAATTTAGGGATAGAATTTTTTTTTGAAGAGAAAACACCAGGGCTGGGGAGATAGCTTGGTGGCCTAAGTCCCTGCCTGGTAAGTGCAAGGACCTGGATTCAATCCCAGGTGTGCTGTGCAGGCCACTAAAACCAGGTATGGTGGCACATGCTTGTAATATCAGCATTGGGGAGGTTGAGACAGGAGAAGCACTATGAGTTCCATTTGCATAGGGAGACCCTGTACCAAATAAATAAAAGATTAAAATGATTAGAAAAAGAGAAAGCACCAGTGGTTTTAGGAGCTTTTAGAAAACATGGTAATGTGCACACACACACATACACTTACATGGAACTTTCACAAGATCCAAATCAGTGTTCATAAGTAGATTTGTGTCATTTATGTAAATGCTATGGGAACAGCACATCTATAGAGCATAAAATCATAGTTTGATGGGAAAATTCTCCACACTCATCCAAATTTTGTGATTAAATATTGGGATTTTATTGGGATTTTAATGTAGAATTAATTAAGCCCAATAGAATAATCAAGAGAACAACTTCCCTATGGAATTTCTTTTCTCTAGAGTCAAACTTTGCCAAATAAACTATCACTTGAGGAAAATTCAAACTCTATTTTAAGATATTGACATTTCCATAAATTTTTATACCCAATAAAAAAGAAATTAAAAAAGAAAAATTAGATTGGGACATGTAGGTCCAGTGATGTAGCTCAGCAGCACAAGCTTCTGCTTGACACGTGTAATATCCTGAGTTCAATTCTTGGTACCAAAATATACACAAAATAGGAAATAGAGTCCTAACAGCATTTCCTCCCCCAGATTTAGTTACTGAAAATTAATTTTAAAAATACATAAAGAAAAAGAAGATATCTAACTCTGCTTCAGGCCTTGATTACCTAGAGGATATTTCACCTCCTCATCTCTCACATTCTTGTGGTTTTTACCTTTGTATAAAATGTCCAGAGTTAGTCTACGTTACCTGTGATGTCCCACTTTTGACATCTGGGTAGAATACTCATGAAGGAAATCACATAATCTCCTTGTGGGTCCATCTGTCAATGATTATAGCAATAAATTATATAAACTATTACAAAAATTTCCTCTGAAAAAGGATGTCATTTGTGATGATTTATCAATTTGAGTTTAGTTAAGAGCAGCTAACTAAATTATTCCATGTTATTTAAATTATTCCCATTCCATATCCTAGGTTGAGGAAGATACTCTCTCCCCCCTGCAAGGTGGTTCTTCACCTGAATGGCATAAGGGGGGTATGAAGAAGGATGGACTGGCTTCTGAGTCTTTGGAGGAGCTCCAGACTTAGCCTTAACCTTGGATGTCATCTTCTGGCCTCTAGAGCAGACCCTTTGGCTTTCAGTGCAGATCCTTCCGCCTTCCACTGTAGTCTTTTCAGCCATCCACTGCAGATCCATAGGCCTGTATCAGGAACAGACTTTATACAAGATAACAGGGTAAAGCTACCTACTGCCAGGACATTTGGCTGCTGTCTTAAAAGGACTGGAGGGAAGTGAGAAGCAGAACTATCTAGGAGCCAGTCATGACAATCCTTGCAAGAGATAACTGTAACTTGGCCAGCATGATAGCAAATAATCACATTCTAAACCTACTTACAAGTAACACAAAATTTCCTCATAATTTGGATGAAGGGATTAAGGTGAAAAATCAAGGAGTCTCAGCTGCTTTTCATTCATTGCTGGGACAAAATACCTGACACCCAGAATTAAGGAAGAAAAGGTTGATTTAGCTCACAGTTAGTGGAGGTTTCAGTCCATACTTAGCTCGCTCCAAAGCAGATTGGCACATGGCAGAGGCAGCAGTTCATGCAAGATCAAAAAGGAGGAGTAGTGGCAACAATGGCTACAGAGAGCAAGTCTGTCTCCCTTCTGTTGCATTCAGGCTATCTGCCCCAGGATGGGTGTTGCACTCACACCCTATAATCCCAGCACTGGATCAGGAATTAATCACAAACTCTACACTGCATGAGGCTTTGGGGGGACAAGTAGACACAAATCACAGATCCATAGGCCTCTTGTATCAGGAAGAGACTTTATACAGGTAACAGGGTAAAGCTAGCTAGTGCCAGGACATTTGGCTGCTGTGGAAGACAAATAACACAAGGATACTAAGGAAGCAGGCCCACACGGACACAAGCAAACACATCTGCACAGATGCATGGAGTACACCCCTACATAAACAAATGGATCCACACAAGACACACCCCACAAAGATGCGATCATCTACCACCTCCAAGCCAGCTCTACATGTTTTGTTTGCTTCCATTTGGCACGTGGCAGTCAAAGCAACGAATAACAGTCCTGATCATAAACAACAATGACAGATACGATATGGGTGGAAAGAGACTGTACCACTGTCAACCGTAAGTCCAGCAGTCCGCCCGCTGCTCGCTCCAGGGACTACAGCCTGGAGGACCGATCTCATTTCATGCCTACCAACCTGAGCAAGGGCCCGCCTCAGTTTGGACAGTAGCTGCATTCTGGCGTGAGTGGATAGTCTCACCCCAGGGTCTCTAGGACAGGGAAGCCACCTCAAAAACCCTTTTACCCTAAAGCTTTGAGGTGACGATCACGACTAGCTGGATTCCAAGAACGTCATTCAGTGAATGAAAGAGTCCATTCAAAAACACCGGAATGAATTGTGTGACGGCGCAGCACGACAGTACGTGAGCCACGCAGTCGTGAAGTGGGCCGTTACTATGGAGACGCACGAGCCTCCGTAAACCACTCATGCACGCTGGACGCAGCCGGCTCAGCACGAGGCTCTGAAGCGCAGTACGCTACCGCCATGGACAGAGGTCCGAAGGCCTCCGGGGCCAAAAGCAGAGGCAAAGGTCCGGCCAAAAGCAGAGGCTGCGCTGCCCCCGACAACGCCTCATGCGAGCCGGAACCTTCAGAGCTGCAGAGCCCCGCGGAGGACACTGAGGTGGCACCGGGGCAGGCGGGCGCGGGCGCGGGCACAGGCGGGGGAGGCTCGAGGGCTCTCGCTTGCGTGCCGCCCGCAGCAACGCGGAGGGCCCAGGAACGGTACCGCAGCCTCATGCTCGGGCCTCTGGCCCCGGGGAAGCCTGAAGTGATTGCCCCCAGGCCCGAGCCGGAAAAGGCCTCGTCTTTCACCGAGCGCCTGCGTCCCGACGCTGTGTTTGTGGGAACTGTGGGCCCAGTGGTGAGGCCGAAAAATGCCCGCACCGGAAGCCGGCGAGGCCCTTGTGCGAAGAAGGTGCCGGGGAAAAGTGGTAGCTCCGCGGGAAGGGCGCCTCAGGCTACAGCTGGTGGGCAGCCGAAGACAGGGGCAGCCAGGCAGTGTCTTCCCCCTGGCTCAGTGGGGGAAGGAAAGAAAATGGTGGAGACGCCTCCACGGGGGCGGCCCCTAGCGATCGGAGGCAGCGCAGACACCCTGGAGACTGTGCAGCAGAAGCTGGAAGCTCTGGACCAGCAGGCCGACTGCGCTTACCTCAGGGTCTTGCAGAGGGCCGGGCAGGTGCGATTGCCCTTTGTGGAGAAACGGAGTGGTCTCATCAAGAGCATCCCGGGCTTTTGGGGCCAAGCTTTACAAAACCACCCCCAGCTGTCTCTCTTTCTCAGCAGCCGAGATAAAGAGGCACTAAGCTATTTGATCAGTTTGGATGTGGAGGAAGTTGGCCCTACTAGATTGGGCCACAAGATCACGTTCTGCTTTGCCCCTAACCCCTATTTCCAAAATAAACTGCTCATCAAGGAATACAGGTGTAGCGCTTCCAATCAGGTAATTTCTTGTTCTACTACAATCCAGTGGCTCCCAGGACACGATCTGCACTCCATGTGTCAGGGAAGCCTAGACCAGAACTGTAGCTTCTTTGGATGGTTCGAAAACCATGGTCCTCTAAGGTCTGACAAGATTGCTGAGATAATTAATGAGGAATTATGGCCCAATCCCCTGCAGTACTACCTTATGAGTAAAGGAGACTGTGGAGAGAAAGCAAAGGAAGGCAAGCCCGAACCAGCAGAGCAGCCAGGGGAGACCCCTGCGCCACGGGTGAAACCATCCACCTGACCCTGTGCCTCCTGCAGGACCGGTTCCTGGCTCTCTGCCATGTGCTTGGCTGTTTATGTTCTCTTCATCTTGGCTTCATGTGCTGTCATCCATTTGGACTTTAGTCAGAGTATGGCGTTTATCATCATGTTATTTTGCCTCTCTGCAGACTTTTTTTTTCCACAATAGTGTCACAAATTAGGTGATCTCACCTTGGTGTTAGTATGTTAAACAGTTATACTTTAGATGTGTTCTGCCTTTGTGTACATTGCCTGGACCCTGTTTTTGAGTCTGGCCTTTCCCACTTGTCTTTAACATAAACATTCTCAAGTCATTCTTTAGGAGGACCCGAACATCCTCAAGCTCTGCTGCTTTATGGCCAGCCACTTGCTGGGCTTCAAGTTGATTCTGGCTCTGCACATCATCAATGACAATCTTTACTGACCACTGTAAGATTAAGCCAGTGCAAGTGATTAGCCAGAATTTATTGTTCTGTGGGTCTGCAAGTACCAGCTAAAGTACCACCTACCTTATCTCCAGCTTTGGCCCACAGGACTTGACTGCACTTGACAGCATGTGATTGCTGGGCATTGGCAGGTGGATGCCAAATTCTCTCTCAGTCATGTGTCTCCTTGCCTCTGCCTGTGTCTACTGATGATCCTTCGATATCTGGCTATGCCTGGGGACCGTCAGGCCTCCAATTTTGTCTAGGTTACCATGAACCCTCATTGGCTATCCAGTCAATGAGGTCCTCAGAAGCTGCTTGTGGACTGCACTCTGCCAGTGCACAAGACACACACCTACGCACCTCAGACTTCAGGAACTCTACTGGCTGAGACTGATGGGTGAACTTGTATCTATGGACAGATGCTAATTGTCTTGATGCTGTGGCTCCAGGTGGGGGAGGGCCTGGCCCCACCTTTATCAACTAAATGCCTTTGTTAGCCTCCCTTATTTCGTGTAAGATATGACTAGGGTGCCCTAAGGGAGGTGCTGTGGAGATGTTTCTCACCTGTGGACTGCTGTCTACTTGCTTTATCTCACATTTCAATGCTTCCAGGCCTTTCTCCCACTCTACCTTCCACTTTTCCTCTTTTCTTCTCTTCCATTCACCTATGTTTCCCTTTTGCCCTTTTCCTTTCTTCCTTTTTTATTTTTTTTGAATTTTTAAAAATATTACCCCAGCTCAGACAAAGGAGATAAAACAGGGGTTTTCCTGCATGTAGAGCCCACAAAGCTGGGGACTTCTTATGCACATTCTTGTAATAGGCTGAGATAGTCAAGGGAGCCAGAAGGCCAAGTAAGTTTGTGGTCAGACTCTGGTCCTCATACCTGGCTCCTACTCAATAGTTTTGAAGTGGAAAACCCAAGGCAACTGTGTTGTAGATTAGTTTCTCTCTTTTTTTGTGGCATTAGGGGTTAAATCCAAGGCCTGTGCACTTACAGCCTCAGCTCTTTAAAAAAAGTTTGTTTTGTTTTGTGTGGGTGTGTATGAGACAAAATCTCACTAAATTGCTAAGTTACCCAGGCTGCGCTTAGACTAGAAATCTTTGTGCCTCAACCTCCCACACTTCTAGGGTTATAGTTTGTTCTTGTTCTGACTTTTATGTGTGTGTGTGTGTGTGTGTGTGTGTGATCCAGGGACCTCATGCTATCTCGTCCTTTGCAGTGGTTTTAGCTGCCTGGATCATCATTGCCAGCTTTCCCACTCCGACAGTCCTTTGCTCTGTACCTTCAGCCTGCATGAGTAGACATTTGTCTCTGCTATAGAGGATTCCAAGCTGTGCCTAGTGTTCTAGACTTTCAGGTTATTTCCGGTAGCTGGGCTAGCTGAGCCAGGTGCACCTTGTCCAGGCTAGTCCGCATCCTCTTTCTCCTCATCCCTGAGCATGTCCACATCTGTGCTCCCCTAGCTTTCCTTTCTTTAGAGTCTAAGTTTTGTGAGGGAGTCCTGGGCTAAGAGTTGCAGGAAAGGGAAGATACTTAGGGAAATTAGAGCACAACTGTGGCGCAGTCATGATTCATCTGATAAGGGATGGTCTGGGGAAACTGACAGAAAAAATGGCCTGCAGGGATGCTTGTCTTGGTGATCAAAGAAGGCTAAAAAGAGCCCTTCTCAGGAGGGTGAGTGTAGAGTTTTGTCCAATTTGCATCTCATCATTAGTGGATTTATTTTTTCTCATTACAGAAACAACCCCCAAACTGAATAATGGTACTTTGAATGCTTCCTCTTCAGTTCTGGATGTGACCTTGTGTATGTTGATGATCAATTCTACATTGCTGTATACTTTGCCTTTAAAATTGTAACCACTTTCCACATTTGCTTTTTATTGTGATTTTCAAAAATGCAGAGGATAGTCCTTAGGGTCTGTGTGCCCATCGCCTAGCTCAATCACTAGTTATGATTAACCTATTTTCACGTGTAGTTGTTTATTCTACTTGAGTTTATTGAAAGTCCAACCAGGCTTCTTTGAGAGATTGGAACCTCGTGGTGATTATTGTGGGTGTATTATTATCAGGTGTGCTTTTTGCTTTCCGTGTTAACTAATGAGGTCTCAAAATGGGCCTTAGAAATGAGTCTTCAGAATTAGCAGAGACTCCAGAGATGAAGGGATGCTTTGTCTTCCCCACATCCTCGAAGGAGAGATTGTTGTTCTTTTTTTTTAAATTTATCGTATGAGACTATTTTTTATCAACTACTTTAAAGACTGTGATTTAGCTGGGCATGTTGGTGCACCCCTGTAATCTCAGCACTTGCGAGGCTGAGGCAGGAGGATTGTCATGAGTTCAAGATCAGCCTGTGCTACATAGTGGATCCTGTCTTAAAAAAAATCCAATGTAAAGTACTTGAGACTTGTCACTATAAAATCAGCTTTTTCTTTTTTTGGTGTAATACATCAGGTTGTGTGACTATTAGGGTTATTATAACTGATCTTATGACTCTGGTCTTGAAAGTATAATTTGGAAATTGTTGTGTTTTGTGAAAGTTACCTCCCAGAAGTAATCACAAAGTGGCTGTTGTACTTGATAACTTGACATTATGGTGGTAATAAAAATATTTTTGTGTTCCTAAATAACATACACAGTTGTTAACTTGCATGTGTGTTGAAAAATGAAAACTTAGATCTAATAGAACCCTAGAATTTTTTTAAAGACAAAAAACCGGTGATGATACAAAATTTTAAAAGGTAATATGAGGTTAACATTATTAGTACTTTTGATATTGTTGTCTTCAAAGTAGTTTCTCAGATTAAAATGTACAGCTATTAAAAATTGATCAAAAATATAAGCACAAACCTTTTCAATGAACTAGTAGAAATTAGTAGTATAATTTCTGTTTCTCAGATTTTCGAATTTTTTTTCTTATTTTTATCTTACATTTCTGAGAGTAGGGGGCATTTGGTTTTTTCCCCCTTTAAGTTTCTTTTCTTCTCACCTTTCCAATTTCAACTGCTTTTCTATCTTTCTTCTGTTCTTGTATTTTGCTGTATTTATCATTTTTCTTCTGCTTGTTCATTCTTTCCTGCAGCAGTTCTCTATTAATTCCCTTTAACTCCTCAATGGCACCCTGTTCTCACTTTTCTCACCTCATCACTTGCCATTGAAGAACCTCTAAAGTCTGTTTTCATTTTCTGCTTCCCCCCACCCTCTACTAGTGTAACTCCTAAGCATTAGGAGTCTCTAGATGCCTAGTTAACTGTGCACTATTACTGTTCAATAGTCTTCTAGTGCTGGTAGAGCTAAGTTGTTCCATGAAGTAGATGTTTACTGAAGGTCAATAGTAGGTTACTACCTGAGTGGGCCTAGTGTTGCTACTATAATTGTAGATCTCTTTTATGTAGGTAAGGGTGGTATATTATTGCTCTTAGTGTTTGTCAGTATTCAGGTTGTCTTTGGTGCTGCAGTTGATGCTGATTGTATTACTGTAGCCAAGATAATGTAGCTGCTCTTATGAAATGTCTTTCTTGGGATGCCTGTGTTTAGATCACTGGGGGTAATTCACAATACTGTGGCCTGTTCCTGTTGAACTGCGCACTGGGATAGACACACCACAAACTCTCACCCCAAGTAAACCGAGGTGTTTGGAATCTGCAAGGAGAGGCAAGCCTGTAGTTAGAGCCTAGAGGACATTGTCTAGAAGAAGTTACTAACTAGAGGTCTCAGTGCTAGAAACAAAGCATTTTACTGCAATAAACCCATAAGCCTGGACATAAAACCAGAAATATGAAGACAAAAACCAATAAATTGTTTCCACACAAGACTCCCTTGCCTGATGCTGATCCAAGGGCCACCAAAGAGATGAAGGTAAGCGCTGCATACTTGAATTACTCAAAATCATCAGAGGAGATAACAAAACAGTTCAATGTGTCATTTGACAAGTAAGTAAACATTCAGTTAAATAAAACAAACGGCAGAAAACATGAATGAAAACCTAGCAAAGCTAAACAAAGTGATGCAAATATGAATGACGCGTAGAAAAAGACCAAAGCCCCTAAAAGACTGCAAATAGAAATTAGGTTAAAATTAGTAGATTAAATTAGATTAAAAAATCCTATTGAAAATATGGGTAGCAAAAAGTGACAGTGAGTCAGAACTGGAAGACAAGACCAGTTGTCAGTGACCAATGAGTGGCACTTTAAAAACAATATGAAAAAACAAGTCCAACAGTTCCAAAGTGATGTAAGCCTAATCTAAATCAATAAAAGTAGTGAAAAAACAAAACAGCACAAAGGGCCTGATAAACTATTTACTGAAATGATAGCAAAACCCATTCCAAATAGCACAACTTAACATACAGAAAACAGATAGAGCCCCAGATAGCTATGATAAAACCAAAACTTCACACCACCATCCTAGTCAGAATTCTCAAACTTCTGCCCCAAAATGGAATCATAGCACTGATTAGAAGAAAGCAATACTCACTCACTTGAATGTTATATGTCAGGGCTTGTGGGTTTATTACAGTGGAATATTTTGTTTCTATAATTGAGACCTCTAGTTAATAATTTAGACAATGTCTT